ACCCTAAACCCTAAACCCTAAACCCTAAACCCTAAACCCTAAACCCTAAACCCTAAACCCTAAACCCTAAACCCTAACCAAGCGTGCTTCAAAGCCCAAGAAACTAGTTGAAAAAAACATTGTGTTTGCAAGTGGGGGGGGGGCTGCGCCCCCCCAAACCCCCCCGCCTTTTTTTTTTGAGCCGTGCAGAGCGTGACCCCCCCACGCTTCTTTTAAGCCGCACCAAGCGTGCTTCAAAGCCCAAGAAACTAGTTGAAAAACATCGTGTGAGCATTGTGTTTGCAAATGGGGGGGGGGCTGCCCCCCCCCCAACCCCCCCGCTTTTTTTAAGCCGTGCAGAGCGTGCTTCAAAGCCCAAGAAACTTGTTGACACCCATCATGTGAGCAGGGTGTTGCAAATGGGGCTGGGGCTGCGCCCCCCCCAACCCCCCCCCCGCTTTTTTTAAGCCGTACCAAGCGTGCTTCAAAGCCCAAGAAACTAGTTGAAAAACATCGTGTGAGCATTGTGTTTGCAAATGGGGGGGGGCTGCGCCCCCCCCAACCCCCCCGCTTTTTTTAAGCCGTGCAGAGCGTGCTTCAAAGCCCAAGAAACTTGTTGACACCCATCATGTGAGCAGGGTGTTTGCAAATGGGGCTGGGGCTGCGCCCCCCCCAACCCCCCCCGCTTTTTTTAAGCCGTACCAAGCGTGCTTCAAAGCCCAAGAAACTAGTTGAAAAACATCGTGTGAGCATTGTGTTTGCAAATGGGGGGGGGCTGGGCCCCCTCCAACCCCCCCGCTTTTTTTAAGCCGTGCAGAAAGGAGTGTCTGTTTTGCCGCCCAAGACATATATACACATATTTTTTCCACACGTGCACACTAAACTATACATATCTTTGCGTCGAATGCGGTATCGTCCAAGAGAGGCAAAACCTCTTGTAGACTACCAAGGATTTTTTTGATTAGGAAAAAGTTTTTTTTTGATTCCCGCTTCTCGAATAAATTCATTCTAGATCTCTTATAAATACCCAAAGAAAGTTTTTTTTGATTGGAAAAAAGTTTTTCTTGATCTTTGGAAAGTTTTTTTTAGATTGGTCGGGAAAAGTTTTTTTTTGATTGGGAAAAAGTTTTTTTTGATGGGTTTTCCATGGAACCCCAGAGCTTTGGCAACGAAGCAGGGTATGGGGAACAATTCCCCACCCTGGTCACCAGGACCCTGTGGGCAGGATGGATTGGAGTCCTTTTCGACGAAGCGGTGGAGGGTTACTGCCACCACTACTTCTATGGAAGTATCATCCGCAGGACAGAGCTGTTCAACACATGGTGGCAGGAACGTCGCCATGAAGCCGGGGTCCTCAGACAGTCCCTGTTTTACCTGGTGGCTATAACGTCATGGCTGACCATGCAAGGAGTTGCTCTATCGGATGTCACGGTGAGCAACGTTGGGCGCGACCCAATGTCAGGATCGTTACCACGGGCAGTGTTCTTTGACACGGCGGAGTGGACGATGCTGCAGGAGGAGAGATACAAGCTATCAAGCGGCCTTGTACGCCTCCTGGAGAAGTATGATGAGGAGCTACTGGCAACCATACGTGGATTGGTCAGAACGTACGACGGCAAGGCCAGCGCGCTTTGGATGGCGTGCGTAGGCAATGTCGGGCCATTTGCCCAGCACCTGCTGGATGCCGGGATTGCAAAACGAGGATGGGATGGAACCCTACTTTCGGTTCCGGCAACAGAGATCCAGAAAATCACGCTGGGCATGCCGTATGACGAAGCTGATGAGTGAGCAGCGCAAGCCAGACAAGAAACATGGATAGTGGTCAGAGAGGCACCAAAAAACCGAATCAAAATACCGCCTCGGCGTGCTGGCTGAGGAGTTTCGGCCTCGACTTCGGTCTGAGGGGTGCAAGAGAGGGAACTTCGGCCTCAGCATGGCCTGAGGGACTTTCGGCCTCGACCACGGTCTGAGAGCGCCTTCTCGCAAGCGAGACAGCACCTTATTTTCATTTTATACTTTTGCAATTCATGGGTGCATGAATTTTCATGAACATGATTGATTTGTTCACCATGTGAATTTTGATCTCTCCGTCGCAGTGTGGCTGTGTGCAGCTCAGAGGATCAAAATTTTGTGTGGGGCTCCGCTAATCTCGTAAGGGTGCCGCTGCTCTAGAGGTCCTGGGCGCTAAGGGTCCTCCCTCTAGGGGTCGTGCAAGCTGAGACCCCGGGCGGTCTCAGCGGATGGACACCAGCTCCTCTTCGAGCGATTCGAGCATCAGCTGGGATTGGCCGCCTCTGCCTCAGCGTGCTGCATTTCGACCAGTCCTCATCCGGCCTCGCTGCTTCCATCTTGACCTGCTTGAGCGCCGAGTGGCTGCGCCCCCTGACCTTTTCAGTTACGTGCTCGAGAGCTCCTTTTCCGGGGTTCTGTTGTCAACTGCGGAGGGCTCCAGGGTTTTCTTGTGCCTTAGTCCCCAGGCTTGGTTCCGTTTGGCTTGCAGTGGCCACAGGATCCACGCGTGCACCCGACAGCTTCTGCAGCTGTCTGCTTGATCAGAGTGCCGTCTGATGTCCGCGCCCGGCTCAAGTTCCGCACCGCCCATGTCTGCATCAGCTTCTCAAGGGGGGGAGGTTAGCTGCTTTGACATCGACAGGTTGCTTGTGGAGGCACAGCTTGCTGCAATTCCTGACAACATGCCTAAATTCCCTTGGGAAACCGGATCGTTCAAGGCCATCTTTGGTGAGGGAATGGCCGGTGTGTTGTCTCCACCAGTGCTGAGGCAACCTTCTCTTGTGCCCATACCTGGGGTTGCCTCCCCTCCGCCGGAACCTGCGCCCGTGCAGAGTGCTTCTGGGAAACGCAAGCATGCGCATTTGTTTCATGAGTGTTCTGCTAAAGCCTCCAGAGATGTAAATGCTGACAGTGATGAGCACTTGTGGAACATCGCTTTGAGCAAGTGGGTTACTGTGTTCATTTTGTGCGAGCACCAGGGAAGCACGGGTGCCATGCTTCAGGACAGCTTCTGGTCCGAGGACGGCACTGCTCGGGAAGATATCATCCGTGATGTCTTGGGGTTGAAGGCTCCAAGAACAGCGTCAAAGAGAGCCAATGACTTGTTGCGTTGTTTCCGGTGGCATGTAGAGCAAGGCAAGTCCCCGTGGCCCTGGAGCATCAAGTCTCTTTCGTGTTATATCGAGTCACTAAAGGGTACTAAAGGGTATGCAAGTGCCACTGCTACTCTGTTTCAGGCCATCAATTTTGCGCATCATGTGGTCGACATCCCCTTTAGTGCTGAGATCTTGAGCGACAGGCGCCTTCAGGGCAGGGCGAAGAGGCTGATTGCTGATAGTGGTCCCCTGAAGCAAGCCACAGCATTGCGTGTTGAGCAAGTCATCCAACTTGAAATTCGAACGACCTCCAGCGAGACTTGTGTGCAAGACAAGTTCCTTTTGGGCGGGATGCTTTTCACGCTATACTCTAGATCGAGGTGGTCCGATCATCGCTTGCTTGATTTTATCTTGTTTGACGAATGTGGGGACCCTACTGAAGGTTTTATTGAAGCACAGACCTCCCATCACAAGACTAGGAATTGCAAGAAAGCTGCCAAGCGTGCCATGCCACTGGTTGCCCCCATGTTCAGCTTGTCAGGCCATGACTGGGCCAGTGCATGGTACCAAGCAGGCGTCGAACTTGGGTTTCCGTGGGATGCATCCCCCTTAGGACCTTTGGTGAGGGTTCCGGGTTTTTCAGGGGTCTCTAAGCGGAAATGCAGCAGCGCAGAGGCGTCAGCCATCCTACGGAGTGCCTTGGAAGTGGATGCTTCTTCAGGGGTATCATCACACTCCCTCAAGGTCACCACTCTGAACTGGTGTGGCAAGAGGGGTTTGCCCGAGTTCGATTGTTTGATGTTGGGTCACCATGTCACTGGGTCCAAATCGCGTGCGGTCTACTCACGTGAACTTCTCAGCGCACCGCTGCGCTCCTATGTCGCCACGCTGAAGGAAATCAAAGCAGGGGTGTTCAAACCAGATGCCTCCAGGTCGGGTTGGTTGTCCGACTGCGCCGCTTTTGCACCTTCACATGCAGACTTTCGTTTTGATAACCCGAAGCGACGTGGGATCCTTGCTAGTGAACCTGCCGTGTCTCCCAGCGATATGTTGGGCCCAGATGCAGGTGCGTGCGCCCCTCGCTCCCCACAGGAGTTTCCGGAGAGCCCGCTTCTTGCACAGGATGCACCTGGCGAGTTTATGGAAGGTGGAGTTCGGGATCATGCTGATGATGACGTTGATGAGACATCCCCTCCCTCCTGGGGGGGTGCCTTGCCTGACAACACTGCCCTGCCCGGTGTTGAGTCTGAGCGCGATGCAGGGGATGCAAGTAGCGATGAGTCAGATAGCAGTAGCTCGAGTGACAGCAACGCGTCCTCAGGGCAATCGATTGCCGAGGAGGGCATCCTTCGGAATGCCGGAGCTGCCCAAAGTTTTGATGTGCCGGGCCCGTTATGGCAGCACAGAGGTTCAAAGATGCTGCACAAGGCGGTGCAAGGCTCGGAGATGACCAAGTGCTCGCGTAGAACGGGTGGGAATGCCTACCTGTATCTTCCTGAGGGCTCTGTGTCGAAATGGACACGCTGCTCGACATGTTTTCGTGGTGAACTGATCACCTCGAAAGGCGGTATGGTGGCTGCCTTAGACGCGCTGAGCGCACCCAGAGCATCCACATGATGGTGTGGAACGAGGGGAGCCGATGCAATTTTGTTTTCTGAATGTGGCTGAACGCAGCTAAAGAAACTCGTGTGCGAGTCGCTTGCATTTGATCGTGCTTGGATTTGATATATGCCGTCCACTTTGAGTGCACTCGCGTGTGGTGGTGTGCAGCCGAGTCTTGACAGTGATGTTTGTGGATTTGGTTTAGGAACGCATTACACTTGTGCTGCCTGTTATGAACTGATACAAACCACCTGGATTGGACTGCTTGCTCAGCGTGCATCTTCATAAGGCATTTTGCCTCAAGACAGCAACATGGCGGCCACTTCCGTGTTGGCATCGACGCCTGCTTTGGAGAAGCAATGTGAAAAGGTCGGCCTCTCTGATGAATGGACCAAGGCGATGATCGCTGCGCAAGTTGACACCTTGTCCAAGGTCTCCTATGCAGTCAGCTTACCAGGCACGCCCGCGACTGACACCAACATCGAGGACTTTGCTGGCAAACTTCGACCAGGTGTTGCTCTCTCTTTGGGCGACAATGCAGCACTTAAGCGCTTGGTCTTTGAAGCTCAGACACTTTGCATCGCCGAGCTTCGGAGTTCGGTGCAGGTTGGTGAAGATGCTCCACGCAAGCTGCCGGCTGCAGAACGTGCTCTGCGGATAGAGCAGCAAGCAGCTCGCTTGAAGGGACTGCCTCTGGCCAAAGGTGCATGGCAATGTGCGCACAGCCTCTACGATCGTTTTGCTCACATGAGAGAGACCGAAGAGCTTCGCTTTGTCCCACCTGATGAATGCATCACCCGGGATCAGGAGTTGGCCGGCAGCAAGGCACCGAAGTCTGTGCAGCTGGATGCAAGCAAGTCGGGCCTCATCGTGAAGGATGAGGAAATCACCAATACAATGAACATCACCTCAGATCACGAGCTTTACCTGAGTTTCATGAGGCGCGCCTTGGCCATGGATCTCGTGGGCCTCGCCAGCTTTGATGTGATGCAGAAGTGGATCGAGCGTCTGTTCGATGTGATGAACCAGGATCCACCTCCAAACTTCTCCCGGGTCTCTCGTGCCCAGGTCCTTCGTGCGGATCGCCAAGTCTTCGTCGAGCTGGCCCGTAGAGCCAATGGAGGGCTGAAAGCCCTCGCCGATGGCTCGCTGCCACTGGATGCAGAGTTTCGCAATTTGCCGGGCAACACTGAGATCATGTACTTCTTGCTGCCGACACCGGAGAAGGGCAAGGGCAAAGGCAAAGGCAAGGGAGACAAGCGCAAGCATTCGGGCGATGGCGATGAAGGTGGCGACAAGAAGAAGGCCAAGACCACTCGCGATCCCGTGCCCAAGGAGCTTCAGGGTTGCCATAGCAGGACTCCCAAGAATAAGCCGATTTGTTTCAACTATAACTTGGGCAAGTGCAAAAAGGGCAAAGCCTGCAAGTTCGAGCATGTGTGTTGCAGACCCAATTGCTATGGCAAGCACCCCTTCTCCCAGTGCCCGAAAGCCAATGAAGCTGCTGACGTTGCTACTTCTGCTGAGTGACTATCAGCAGACCTGTGCACAGGCGACCTTGTGGCTGTCGCTGTTCCTACATCGTCCACAGATGATGTCAATTTTCCTTGTTCTGCCGTTGACCGTGCTTCGTTGCCTGCTGATTTTGATGTGCAAAGCCAGGTGCCTCGGCTTGTTAAACCCGTCACGCAATGTGTGGGCGAGACTCCGCGAGGTTTTTGCCTTGAGGTCTTTGCTAAACATGCCCAATTCACGGCTGCAGTGCGTCGTGCTTTGCCTTGTTCCTTTGGGGTGGGTTACGGGTGTTCTGCCACATCACGTGCCCCCATCGTTCATGCCGATCTCTTGAGCCCTGCAGGGCTTGCGCTGTGTGCCTCATGGGCACGTGAGGAACTGTGCTTGTGGGTGCACATTCGGTGTCCATCTACTGTCTTCCCGATTGCACACAAAGCCCACTTAAGCCCTTTGGGTGATGATGCTTCCGCTGTGTTGTCTTTGACCCGCCAACTCATTAAACACTGCGACGACACCTCTACCCCTTGGTCCCTTGAGTGTCGTGAGCGATCTCTGTTTTGGCAAGATGGGTGGGCCAGCTCCCTGCCGTCCCTTACTGTCAACATGTGCCAGTTTGGCCATATGCACCGCTCGCCTGTCAGGTTGGCCACTCGTCATCCGGAAGCATTCCGTCATTTGGCTATTCCATGTCAGCATGTGCATGTGTCCACTGCCACAACCACCAATCGTGTGCCTCCAGAGGCTGTTGCTGCCTTTTATGATGCTGTGGGGACTGCCATTCTCGGGTTCTTGCGGTTCCCGCCCCTCGCTCCCGGCCCCACTCCCTTGCATTTGGCACAGGTGGCTGCCGGCTTGCAGCCCCGACGTTCGCACCTTTGCCTGGTGCCTGAGTTTAAGTGCATTGCCAATGTTCGCCTCCCGGAGCTGCCCCCTCTTCAGGACGGCAAACTGAAGCACGAGCTGGTCGTGGGTGACGTGTGCGTGCCTGCAGGATCCAAGCACTTACTCCCTGGTTCTCAACGGGGGAAGGATGGCCAAGGAGCAAGTGCAGCAGTGGGGGGATCCGATTCTCCCTTCTGTGGACCTTCCCTTCCTCACCCTAAGTTAACTACGGCCTCGACGTCTGCGGCCCACTCCTTTTCCCCTAAGCTCTCTAAGCTGCCCATGGTCACGAGTTCTGAGACCGGGCGCCCTAACCCACAGAAGGTGAGTGCTGCATCGTGTGTGGACACAAATCAGGATGTTTTCTCGCATGAAGCTGAGCTGGCTGCCAGCCGTTTGGGCGATGTGCCCACACGGGAGGAGCTCTTGAGCATATTTGCTTTGCATGATGCTGACCCTTCTAAACGCATGGCCGGGATTCGCGCGAGCGAAAAATCTTGGTCATCAGGTGCTTATGCCATGGGAGGCTGTGTCGGCGTCCGAAAGAATGCTTCCATGTTCCCTGTGTTCACCCGAGCACTGGTCCGGTTCCTCAGGCATCAGATCCCCGATGCCAGGTTTTCATGCGTTGCTATCTTTTGCGATATGTTACAGGGCATGCACAAAGATATGTGCAATCAAGAGGGTACACTCAACTATGGGGTTGCACTTTCGGACTTTTCGGAAGGGTTTGTGTGGGCTCACGACCCGGCGGGCAAAGTTCACAAGCACACGCCATCAGGTAAGCTGCCGGGGGTGTTGCACGACATTGCAAAAGCCCCGGTGCGCTTTGATGCGAGAAAGTTTCATTGCGTCATGCCGTGGCATGGACAAAGAGTCGTGGTGATTGGCTACACACCGCAAAGAGGTTGTGCCCTCAGTGCCAAAGAGGTTCGTTATCTGCTTAGCTTAGGCTTTCCGTTGCCGTGGGTCGACACGCCGTCTCCTACTGTGCCTCCAGTCCACGATGCACCTGTCGAGCAACGCTTGGAAAATGTCGCCGACTCTGGTCCTGTGCACTTTAAGCTACCTTGTGCTTCTGCGGCTGCATGCGATACCCACTTGTACACCTTCGGTGTTTACCACTCTGAAGCCGAGTTCGTCCGCAAGGCCGTGCAGGTGGGGCATCCGAGGAGCCTCTATGGTAGCTTGCCCCAAGCCATGGAGGAGTGTATCGATGCGTTGCTTGTCATGCCTGAGGCTTCAGTTGTCACTAAGCGTGCGGCATGGCTTGCGCATTGGACGGCTCGTGCCAAGGCCATCCAGGAGAACCCCGATCCTGATTGGCACATCCAAGATCCTGCAATGCGCGCTATCCTTGGACGAAAGAGGCTGCAGCTGCTTGATGAGATCCTTTTATCGGAGGGTTACGGCGATTGCACACTAGCTAGGGACATGCACCATGGTTTTGACTTAGTGGGAGTGGCGCCGCCTTCTGGTGTGCTGCCTGGCAAGGTCACCCCTGCTTCTCTTGAGCCTGAGGCCCTTAGTGCCAATGCGTGTCGTGCCAATGATGCCTTGCGTGCAAGTTTGCGTTCTTGTGGCGATCTGGAGCTCGATGAGAAGCTTTGGGAGAAGACCCTGCTGGAGGTCGAACAAGGATGGTTGCAGGGACCGCTCGAGTGGTCTGACTTAGGCCCGGGGGAGATAGCATCACCCCGCTTTCCTTTGTTGCAGAATGGCAAAGTGCGCCCGATCGACGACTACTCTCGATCTGGTGTCAATAGTTGCGTAACCACACTTGAGCAGCCAACCGTGGACACTGCCGACGTGGCAGCCGCCATGTTCAGCAAACTCTCGAACGGCTTGTTGCGCAAGGGGAGGTCTGGTGCTCTCCTAGGTAGGTCTTACGACTTGACATCCGCATATCGACAGCTATGTGTGTCGAGGGAGTCGTCACGCTTTGCCATAGTGGCAGTGTTCTGCCCAAAGGATGGGAAATCATACCTATTTCGCCAGCCTTGCCTACCATTTGGGTCGCGTGCATCAGTCAATGGTTTCATTAGGTGCTCGAGGTGCATCCAGTGGATCGCACTCCGGTGCTTGCTTGTGCCGCTGACGTCCTATTACGACGACTTCATATCTGCGTCAACATGCACTCTTGCTGCCAACACCGACACGACCATGGCGATGCTGTTTCGCCTATTGGGCTGGCAGTATGATGAGGTCGGTCCAAAGGCTGACGTTTTTAGTGACCGGGTTGAAGCCCTCGGAGTGGCCTTTGATCTTTCCGAGACATGTTCCGGTGTGGTCATCGTGGACAACACCCTCAGAAGGAAAGATGCTCTAGACAGCCTAGTTAGCGAAGCACTTGCAAGGGGGACCCTCAATCATTCTCAATCGCTCGAGATGCGCGGCAAGCTGGCCTTCGCTGATGCACAGGTCCTCGGTCACTCGGGGAAATTTGCTCTGAAGTTGCTGTCTGCGCATACCCATGCGATTCCTTTCAAGACGCGCATTGCTGATGACTTGAGCCGCGCTCTGAAGTACTTGAGACAAAGAATCGTTGAGGGCTCTCCCCGGCGTGTGTTACCAACTGCCAAGGACACGTGGTTCCTTTTTACCGATGCATGTTTCCACGACGCTGGTGATGGTGGTTTAGGCGGGGTGCTGGTGTCTTCCCTAGGTTCGGTGAAGTCGTGGTATTGCCTTCCTTTGTCAGCCGATGACATCCAGCCTCTCATTTCCCACACAGCCCGCACCGGGATTGGCGAACTCGAGACAATGGCGACCTTACTTGGCATCCAGCTATGGAGGGGCCATCTACGGAGCACCAACGTGGTAGCTTTCAATGACAACGAAGGTGCCAAGTTCGCCTTGGTCAAGGGTTATTCCAAATCCATGTCAGTCACCAGGATTTGCCACGTGTGTGCGACTGTTTGTGAGACCGACATGATCATGCCTTGGTTCTGTCGTGTTCCCTCAGCATCCAACATTGCCGATCCGCCTTCACGCAGTATGTCCTGCGATGCCTTACCCGAAACCTTCAAGCTGCCCTGCGATCAGGTGCGGCGCGCGTACCTTAGCTTGAGGGGTCGAGTCTGCAGTATGCTCTCGTAGCCTGGATGGGGGTGTAGGTGGCAACTCGAGCGACTGCGCTCTCTGGCAGCAGAGATTTTGGGAGTGCCCACTTTCTCTTGCTATATGCAAGCACTCTTCACCGTGCCACGCCCCCGTCTGTGTAAAAAGAGAAGGGTTGTCCGAGTGATTGCATGCTTTCATTTCATGTTCTTGTCTCTCACTCTTTTGCTGGGGGATGTGATGTTTTATCTTATTGCTTCCGTGTTTTTAGTTGATCGACAACTTGGCGATCTAAACTCTGGTGTGCCTTCCCAAGTATACCGAAAATAAGAGCGCCTTCTCGCAAGCGAGACAGCACCTTATTTTCATTTTATACTTTTGCAATTCATGGGTGCATGAATTTTCATGAACATGATTGATTTGTTCACCATGTGAATTTTGATCTCTCCGTCGCAGTGTGGCTGTGTGCAGCTCAGAGGATCAAAATTTTGTCCCGCCCGCCCTCCCTGATTGGGGGTGTAGGTGGCAACTCGAGCGACTGCGCTCTCTGGCAGCAGAGATTTTGGGAGTGCCCACTTTCTCTTGCTATATGCAAGCACTCTTCACCGTGCCACGCCCCCGTCTGTGTAAAAAGAGAAGGGTTGTCCGAGTGATTGCATGCTTTCATTTCATGTTCTTGTCTCTCACTCTTTTGCTGGGGGATGTGATGTTTTATCTTATTGCTTCCGTGTTTTTAGTTGATCGACAACTTGGCGATCTAAACTCTGGTGTGCCTTCCCAAGTATACCGAAAATAAGGGAATGGATTTCGGCCTCGACAAATGTTGAGGGAAGTGAGGGCTAGTACCGGTAGTCTCACTGTGCAGAGTTTGTAAGTTTCACCCTAAAACCCCAGCCCCTTCGGGTGGCTACGCCAAGCAGCGTGCAGAAGAAAGTTCCTGTCTGGCTCAAGGTTTCGGCTCAACCCCGGTGGGGTGCTCAGGTAGAGAGCGTCTTTAGTGCCGTTGTGGCTGGCCCTGGGGCTTGTAACTAAGGGTAGGTTCCGTTTTGAGGCCCTGGCAAAACTGTGTTTGC